TCTCTGCCAGCCCTCATGTTGGGAGGATCTCACCATGGTGGGCGAGAGTCATGTGTCGGTCCACCACATGACAGCGGGGCCCACCATACCTTTAGCTCCTAATATTTAATATAAAAAAGGTAAATATGTGCTAAGCTCTCATTTATCTCGAGGATGTAATGGAGCAGATATCTTACCAGAGCCTCTTGGTTTCTCTACGATAGAAGGGACTATTCGTGAGGTACTTAATCTTTTCAGCATTGTTTCGAGTAAATACTCGTCCAATTACTGGTCATGTGGCCGCACACTTGCCAACTTTAACACGGCAAGCAGCTGCAAGTTTTAAAGGAAAGGTGTGTGAGAGTATTCTTAAATGCAAACCATACTGCCACAATAATCCCTTCTCACTTAAAGTCGTCACAATGTTGTTACGCCAGAAGGGATAAGTTGTCACAACATAGAGGATAATGTTATGACGACGTGAAAAAAGGACATTTAGATGTTGTGACAATGTTTTCGATTAAATTGGCATAACATTTCATATGTTGTGGTACAAAATTTTCATAATGTCGTCATTACATGTGCCTGTTACCTGGGCTATGGTATTCTTCATCTCAGCGTTGAAAGTTTTTCATAGTTTGAGTAAAAGGAAGTCGGAGAAACTTATGGGAAACATCCAGGTTATGGTTAACCAGGTTTTCCAGGTAAACATAATTAATAATATGAAACCGGGATCACAGTGGATGCAACAGCCATCTTTGGATGCGTCCTTTGCGAATGAAACTGAAGCCGATTTTGATTTAAACGACGACGAAGAGAACGACGGAGCCTTCCCTGTTGGAGAAGATGAAACCAGTTTATTGAAGGTGAGTGAGAAACTTTCTGAAGAGAAGGGACTGGCAACAGCAGAAGGAAACGAGTTCTATAACTCTATTCTGGACACTAGAAAGCAAGCAAAGAGTCGAAGATGAATTTTGAAGAATGGTGAAAGTGAACTTCTTCCGGATGAAATTGCCAATGAATGGTACTGTCCAGATCTCGTGAAGGTACTCATCAATTCCTATCTTACAACCATTATCATTTGGTCTTCCATGCCACTGGGGAACTTACTACGGCACTTCAAAGCTTCTCAGCAATTCACGCAGTATGTATTACCCAAATGTGTCAGTGATATAGGGAACACAACGAATTTTCCGAGAAGCACAAGTCAAAAGAGGCCCGAACTCTACTCTAAAGAATTCTGATAACTAACCATGGGGGGCAACTGCGGGTACAGGAAAGAGCGGGGAGCGAGGATAATCACGTAGTCCAGTCCAAGGTCAGGCTCCCTCTTCACTCATGTCATGATCTCTCGTTTTGTTTCGCGGGGTATTGATCCAGGACACTAGTCCAGGCTCTCTCAATGATATGCATACGTAATGAACAGACCCGGATCTCGAAAAAATGTTTCCCTTTTTATGTTCGATAAACAGGATTCGACGGGAACTGACAAAAAACTTGATGAATAGGGGGAGCACAAGTCAAAAGTGGGCCTTCCTTCAAGGGAAAAGTGTGGAGATGTGCGTGAATGGAGGAGTGATCGCGATAGTTGTAGTCGGGAACACTACTCTATGTCGAGTTTGTGGTAAAATTGGAAGTTTCCAATGCATCTCTCACCCTCAGAACCACATGGAGGTCCGGGTGGAAGCGTGAAATTAGTGCAACAGTGCAACTTTATGCATAGTTTGAGTAATTTCGCAGTCTACGTCGTTATAAGGCCCAACCTCTGAAGTCAAAATTTCTCGAAAATTAGAAGTCATTGGGCTTCAGTGTAGCGTAGAGGAATCGGCGTGTTAGTGTCCAGGCAAGCAGGAGCATGCCAAAAATGGAACCAGTTTTGTTTCAGTACGAGGACCAAAGGCAAGGGGGAGGGGGGGGGGGGGCACTCGTGACTAGAAGAGGAGGGAGATGGGAAGAACTCCTCCCGACATGGGATATGGGTGGGTCATATCGTTCGAGGTTGGAAAATTCAGTTCACGTCCACGTGCCTTCCTCTCAATGCTGCAATATTTCGTGTCCTATAGATGCACCAGCTTCGTCTTCCACGTTGTCACTGTCGGTGTTCTGAGGGTGAAAGATGTCCTTAGCTCACTTCCCCCTCTCTTTTTACATCGAAGGTCAACTACAATAATCCGGGCCTGAAGCTGGTCCGTGTGTACTTGAACTCATGGAAACTTTCATTGTCTTCCAGTTTAGTTTCTTGTTTCCTGTATCATCGAAGAACAAAAGGGACAACAGACTGATATACCGATAGAACGAGGATCTACGTGGTAACTGCCGTGTTTTCCCCTTGAGAGAAGAAGGCCCACTGAAACTGGGAACCATCCACGGTGAGAGGAGTCGAGAGCAAATGTTACAACCGACTCCAGTTGCTTTCGAAAAGAATGTCCTTGTCGTCAGGGTCCAACTCGGGAATACTAGTGTTTGTCTGCAGAATTAGGGGTGGTGGTGGTGGTGGTTCAAGGTGCCCCCGCATTATCTGCATCAGGGTCGTGGCTTGCAGCACAGCTGGGTCGTTTGGCAGCCGTCCCTCGTCCTCGCCGCTCTGCCCCTGTTGAAGTTCAAGTTCCGTATTATTTTTCATTCATCTTTCACCACTTTACTCAATTACCTGTACATGTACGTGATCATTCCTATGGAAACTTAATCGATTGAGGCTTTTATTAATTTAAATCCTACAAGCTGCGTGAACTGTACGACCATCGCTGCTTGACATGCACTTAGTACATCGACTCCGCTTACAGAAGGGCGACGAAAATAGACCCCTTCATCTTTACCTTACGCAACATATGTTCTGATCGAGATTCTACGCTTGATTCGATCCCTCACCTTGGAACTTATGTCCTTGTCCATTTTATGAGCGAAGGCTAAAAGCCGTTGTTTAGGGGCTAATGACTTATTGAAGAGCCAAGGAAACATTTCCTCCCAAGTATAGCCCTTGAATTCTCTGTTTAGTCCATCTCCCATCACGTGTGAAACCTGCAAGCATGCGTAAAATCAACATCTAGTTTAGGAATTCAAACTCTTTTACCATATTTTAACTTGCTACGATAGCTCACGTTAATGTGACGATCAATAAGCCAATTGAGTTGGAAATCATCGTCATCTTCGCCGTATGGATTGATGAGGGATTCGGCCACTTTCAGCCAACCGACATAGAGGACCAACTGAAAAGACAATACTGTGATATACCACGTATTTGACTGCATAACACCCAATTGGATGCCCTCATCCATTAATGCTCTTTGGGTGCTCCTCGAGGATTATCAGTAAGTACGAAGCATTCTTAGGGTTATTACAAGTAGTGGTTTGACTCTAAGTAGAGACCCCTGCTGTTAGACTGTCTTTTTCTTTCAGTTGGGAGTGCGCAGAAGAATCAGGTTTTCTGCTGCATCCCAAAGATCCATAATAAAAAAAAAACCATGGAACCCGTACTTGCTTTTCGCCATAGAACGAAATAATGAGGAACGTGCGTTCTTAGCCATCGCCACATTTCGGCGTGCAAGATGAAAAAATACCATGCAGTTTGCGGAGGAGGCATAAAATAGCAACGATTTGTCAAAAAAAGGAAAATTGGTGAAGCCTTTAACTCACTACGGAAAGCATGCCTTTCCGAAAAGAAAAAAAAAAGCGATGGAGGCAAAGAAAGGAGTAAGCGTTCGCTCGAACAGATCCCGAGCCTCAAGGCGACCTTGAGCTTCTTGGCTCCTGTTTCAAACATTCCTTATGACCCTCTCCCATACCTCCATCTTGCTAGAACACCAGTTCAATCAATCACGAGAGCCATATGTCGCTCTCCCTCAAAAGGGGCTCAGGATTCCGGGCGACTTTCTTATACCCTGTCGGGGGTACGTCACTGCTGTTTTGTTTTGTTTTTTTTTTTTGTTTTTTCTTTTTGGTGGGAGAGGGGGCTGGTATATTCACATACCTGCCACCGTTGCGAAGCAAAAGCAAAAGTTGTTAGTAATATCTCATTATCTCGTTCTTCATCTCACTTTATGGATCACCCCTTACCCCTCGTCAAACCATAGTTCTCTGGGTCTTTTTTTTTTAATTAATGAAACATGTAGGCGCAGAGGGTTTAAAAATAAACGCTCAACTCATTTTGCAAGGGGGATAGATAACATTTACTTCCATGGAGAAAAAAAAATAAGATCAGGCCTCATTCTAACAACTGCCTATTTCTTTAAAGTGGAAGAACGTGTGAATTAAGCAGAGAAGACGCAATCTGACACAGTTTAATTTGATCTGTGAATCATCAAGAAATGTGGGATTTGCTTTTCGAGTCCAGATTCATCCCCAAAGAATATGGATTATTATGGCCTAGATGTGAATGATACGAATTTGACTCGAGATTCTGATGAGAGAGTACAAAGATTAGCTCTTGGCTCATTATGCTTCTCGTTGGATGCTGGACTAAACTCTTACTGAACATCGCATAGCCACTGGATCTGAACTATTGGTGCGCTGCACGTGCCCCATCCTCTTCCCACCAAAGTACCTGCTCGGCATGCTTATCTTCCAGAAGCACAAAATAAAATTAAATAAAAACATTTGGTTTTTATGATTACTTCATGATAAATTATGATAATTTTAACACTACGTCAATATGATCCCTTTATAATGGGGAATATCTTGCACGACACGAAGATTTAGGTCCCATGCTGAAGCAAAGAAGTAGGGACACCATCATACCACCACTAAATCCCCCCCCCCCGAAAAAAATTCCATCGGTGTAAAAGTAGCAAAAATATATGTTGATATGTCTAGTACAAAAGGTTTATAAAGACGTATAGGAAAGAGGTGAGGTTGGATAGATTGCGATCAATGAGAAGTTCTAAACCATTCGGGGCGATTAGGAAGAGAAGGGGTAAATGACTCGATATGCAGCATTTTCTGACAATCATGAAATCGCACAAGCAGAGCCCACACAAGACTAATTGTAATACCCCCATAGGGAAACGATTATAATTTCAGCAAAGAAAATGATGGAGCTTTTTTTCACACCCTATATGCGTTTCGATGTAGCTGGGGCTCACCTGAAACAATGTAATAATTGGTACATATATGTCAAGAGCTTTTTCAGTGTCAGGGTCGATGAACTGACTTCCCAGCAATGCAGCACTGTAGAAACTGTAACAGGCAATAGTCACCACCTGAGGAGAAAGTGGTGGAGAGGATGAAGGAAGGCTTAACAAAAAAAAAGACATAGCTACTACAATGAGAACCTACCTGGGAGTACACGAGAGGGACTTGGATGTAGTCCACGTGCTGGCAGACGGCGCAAGCCCGGCGAAAAGCGGACAAGGTATCAAGAATTGATCGAAGTCCCATGTCAGAACCGATGCGTTGTTCCTCCCGGGCTTTCTGCAGTATGGAAGCTGCCCACATGTGAGGGACCCAAAACATGGAACGCATATTTTTCCCTACCATCGCCTGCATCATCAGTCGTTCTCCTTCTTCCATTAGCCCTATATGAAGGAGCATCACGCAATGCGCTAGAATTAAATCTAAACGAGTTAAGAGATGTGGGCGGCTGGTGGGAGATAAATGGCCGACCCGTCGTCAATTTCATTGATACTCATACATCACGTTGTGAAGGAATAAATCCAAAGAATGAAGAAAAATTATCTCAGGTTCCGTTTATATAGACGGCAAATATTAATAGGTCTAGTTTTTTTTTTCCTCAAAAAATTTATCTCAGGTTCCGTTTATATAGACAGGAAAATATGGCTTGCTTAAGTCCCTAGGGCTAGTTTTTTTTTCCTCCGAAGAACCGTTGTCTCAGCTTCTGCTATGACTGCCTCGAGAAAAAATTCCTTATCTGATATAATCACTTCAATCGACATGGTCGTTTCCCCGACGGAAATCAGTTCAAACGCTATGGCCACGATCTCAAGCTCCCGGAACCCGAAATCCTCCGTCTCCTACCTCCTTCTGGTTCTCCATCCTCTCACTCTTTGATCATCTTCATCTCCCTTCACGCTTCCCTTGGGCCAGTATCACATTCTTCTCTCTTCTCCCCTCCTCCCCTCCCCTCTACCTTTTCTTCACTCTCTCACATGACCCAACTGTATGCGACCATTGAAATAAAGCAACATGTACAACACGCTCCCATTCGCCTGGTTACTTATTCTCCCCTCCTCTGTCTCTCCTACTCTCTATTATCTCCCCCTCATTCTCTGGACTCAATCCAACGCGACCATAGCGACTACGGCAACATGTACGACAAACCCTCCCCTACCTGGGCATTTGCAAGATGAGTAACATGCCCCTCTCTCTGTCCATCTCTCCCGCCGTCCTTCTCCCACCTTCCCCCTTACCTTCCCCTTGGATCAGATCAACCCTGATCTGATCCAAAGCAACCATGCCGACAGTGACGTACTCTTGGAAAAGACGCTTCGGTTAGGCTCACATTAAATAGGTCTCATATCTCCAGAGTGACTCTATGACCAATAGTACCTACAATTGTCCTAAACAATGCTGACCACCAACTACTGCTCCCCAAAAGACCCAAAATTGAACGTTAGAGAGAAAAGTCACCCATTCCCTGTTGAAGACATGTGAGCTAGCTGGAGGTAGCCGGGCTGCATCCAGGGCCGTGTCATAGTTCCAAATTGTAATTGGATGCTCTGATGCCTTATGTAAGTTCATGTCGCATAATGGACACCAAGACGATCATATTACAGCCGTTCCCTAACTACTCAGATCAAGTAAAACTTGATCAGCACGATCTTATTAAATGTACTTCCTAACCGCACAGACTAAAATTTGGTGCTTAACCAGGGAGAATTACTTTCTAGGTCCAAGAGAAAGATGTCACCATTCTTATCTGAAATTCGTAATTGGAGGTTACCAAGGAAATCGTAATGAATTTCTTGAACTCGTCCACCTTCCACATTTTCTAACTACCTTCTCATGGGACATGTCCAATTGTGTCTTCGAAAGCGCTCCTCTTCGTAGCTTTCCGTTGCATTCGACCCCTTCCATATGACGTCGTGCAATTAGTGCTGTAATGTATTGTCTGTAATGAATGCCCAAATCTACCATTCTAAGAAAAAACCGAGTGCTCTCCCCGAGCTTGTGTGAATATTGCCCTCTCTTTCCTCGCTCATTGCACGAAATTCCATGCACAGACCACAATTTCCTTATGGTTGGAAGGTTTCTTAGTTCCCTTTGATTTAGGATATAATACAAGACGACTCATGCAGGAGTTCCGATGGGACGATCGAGGAAAGACGGAAGGGATCCTCCCGTCTGCGACCTCTCCACTGCTCAGGTTGTTGGGTTTTTTCCAATGATGTATTTGTAACGTTAAAATCCCCAAAATGTTCTTTACACGAAAATGAATGAATGTATTAGAGCATGAAAAATGGGATAATACGAGTATTATCCCCTCGTATTCGTCCTGATTCTATAGCCGAACTTTTTTTGTTAGATGATTGTTAATGCTGACGAGGTCAGCGTGCTGAAGTTCAATTTTATTAATGTCTAACTTTTCAAGTGAAACTAGAAACCTCCTTAAGTACAAGGAAGACTGGCAAGACCTGAACTTCTTTTACAAGGGGAACCCTTTCCTTGATTCGATCCATATGGAGTGATCCATCTTAAAGAGGTGGCAGTCTGTCGCACAAGTCGCCATAGTCACTATGGTCACATTCATTCAAGTCATGAGGAAGAGAGAGAGAGTGAGAAAAGAGTAAGAGTTGTGAGGACTAAACTGAATGAAGGCGGAAATGGACAAACGTGGAGCGGTTGAGCATGGGAATGAAAAAGCGAGAAGACGAAAGTAAACGACTCGGCAAAGCATGAAGGGACGGAGGAGCTTAACCCTCTCCATGGTGACGTCTCCATTTGGAGACACTATTTGAAATTCATTCGAAGCTTGTAACAACATATGGGGCAAATATTTAAGGGAAAACATTTGTCCAATTGAAAGAGTGAACTGTCATTCAGTCTGAGATGCAACAAAAAGCCTCAGTTTCAAGCAAGTTTCGGCTTGAGTTCAATGCATCACTGACCATTCTCATATTAATTTGCCATGTAAAGGGTTAAGATTCCTGCTAACTGGATCGGATGTAAGACCAAGCATGGAGGGGCGCTATATGCTCTGGAGAGAAAAAAATTTAAGTAATTCTGGGAAGTGTGGCAAGTTAAATCGACTGGAAGCGAATGGCTAAAGCTATCAAGTTTTTACAGTTTTTACGGCAGCGAAATATTCCATTCTCAAAACCGCTTATGAGAACGATTCGAAGCATTTCATAAGAACAACATTTCTCAAACTGGGGGGGGGGGGGGGGTGACAGGTGGATCGGTAAGACTTTTCTTTCACTGTCCTCACAAAAGCAGTTGAAGCATTTTCATCCTGAGGAAATTCTCCCCCGGATTTTTTAAATATTGGAATCAGAAGAAATTCCAGTGGAGAAATAACCCGGTAAAATAGGTAATTTGAGGCTTACTTAATTGGTATGCAAATGAAAGTAGAGTTTAAAATCCTAAGGAGCCTCAACATTATATTTCTTTAAGTTTTGAAGATTTAGAAGTCAATGCTTTTGGCCTATGAGTGTGCTCTGTTTTACGTTCACCAGAAAATGCAGCATGTTTTTTGCATGCGGTCATGCATTGAAAAATAACGGAAATATTGTGACGGCCAGAAACAGTGATGAAGATAATTTTCAGCTTCCCGTTCAGACACTCATCTGGGGAATCCCGAAGGCTTTCGTGGAACATCCAACTCATTTGATGATAAGCGGCACTACTGCGTGACTTTTTCCCCATGCTTTTCCGGGTTGAAAGTGAAGCTAAATGAATGTACCATTACATTTCACTTTCGCTTTCATACTGACCTGGAGTCCTACCATCTTCAGTTTTCTACATCTACTCGATTTCACACAGTTTTCAGCGACGTATAAATTATGGGTCGCAAGTCGTTGGGTTTCATGCAAGGGATTCGTGAACCCAAAATATATTAGAATTAGATAGAGACAGGAATGCTGGCGTAAGCGTCTTCGGTATTTAACGCACGCATTTTTTAAATGAGACCTTCAACACCAACCTTCAGCAATTATCTCTTCTTGGAAGACTTTCTCTCAGGCGATAAGGAAAAGGTTACTGGTGGCTGGCAATTGGAATGCCTGTATACAATTAAAATGCATTTATCTTTCTCTCCCCCCCTCTCCCTCCCTTCCCTCCAGGGAAGTAGCCTCCGTGAGAAGGTCAGCTGACAAGTCTCCAAGGAAATTATTGATACGATGTACTCGCCTGCATCGACGAGGCTTTGCAGCGATGGGAATCGCTTCCTGACCCGTGTGCTGAAGTACCTCATACTACAGATCATGCCGAGGTTCACGTGTCTCAAAACCGTTCTTCTCATCAGTCGAGAACGTTCATCCTGTAACAAATAAACCAAGTCGTGGGATATTCGCAGCACACAAAAAAAGTATTATGAGAATAATTTTCTTGCCCTCTTCCATGAGATGCATCCTTTTTTTTTTCGTGGCTTTCGCCCTTTTGGATTCTACGAGGGTCATCCGAAAAGTTTCAAGTATTGGTTCATGAGTCATTCCTCAACATTTCTCAGCATCATCTCATGAATATGTCAGGAAATGTTCTTAAGAATGATAGCCACTCAACGCTGTCACCAATGAACTCGATGTATTTCTTACACCGTGACACCAGACCGTGAAAACCATGTTGTCCTTTGGCCAGGTCCAGGAGCGATGCTTTGTAGGCATTATTGAAAGCATTGGCTTCCTCAAATCGTTGTCGATGCAAGCTTCCCTTAACCTTGGGGAAGAGGAGGAAGTCGTCGGGTGACAGATCCGGTGAGTAAGTTGGGTGGGTGAGCACCTCCCAGTCTCAGTCTGCCATGACCTTCTGGACTTCCGCTTCCGCTTCCGCTTCCGATGAGGAGCCGCGTTGTCTTGCAACAGAATAACGCCCGGTTTTCAGCAGGTGGGGACGCTTACCGCGTATGGCTGGCCGGATTAAATTTCAGAGGATGTGCAGGTACTAGTCTCCGTTGGCAATTTGATATTGGGGCACTGCGGATGACACCATGCATGTCAAAGAACGTGATGTCCACCTTCAAGGAGGGCCCCGTCCCGGAGGCCATGCAGACTGTGACTGGGATGTGCTCGCCCACCAGCTTCCTTGCCGGATCTTTTGCCGAGCGACTTCTTCCTCTTCCTCAAGGTGAAGGAAAGCCTGCGTGGACGACAGTTTGAGGACGCTGACGCCCATAAACGATGCCTACAAAGTATCGCTCCTAGACCTGGCCGAAGTAGGACAACATCCTGGCATCTACGGTCTGTTGCCACGGAGTAAGATATGTATCGAGCTCATTGATGATTGCATTGAGTAGGTATCATTCTTAAAAACATTTCATGAGATAATGTTGACTTTTGAATGAAACTTATTAATGACTTATGAACCAACACTTAAGACTAAATTTTTTGTAGAAATGGCGCTATTGTACATATGGCTTAGGATATGGCACAGGTGTAAAAACACTAACGCCATCTCTCTATTAACATTTTTATGGTTTACATTCATTGTCTTTATATATATTCTTTTTAAAACTATAGGTGCCCATCAATTCATGGTGCCCATCAATTCATGATGCCCATTGGAATCAGGAGTTCATGAAATAAAGGGCAGTGAGTATTGCGAGTATTGCGAGGAGAGATTAGCGAAACGGGAGATAAAACGAGACAGGAATGGTAGAAGACTGGGCTCTGTAAATTGACCATCCAGAAACCGCATTCGTTAACTCGTACTGCCTTGAACCCAAAATCCAAATCAGATAACTCTAACCTGCGTTTGGGAAATTTTGTGCATCGATTGCCTGTCCGAGCAGCAATGGGGACTTCAAGGAATAATACTTTACCTGTCCGCTCAAATACGAGGTCAGGTAGAGGATGAGGTCATCTGGCCAAGGGAGAGCATTCCAGAGTCCCCACCATCGATTGAGGACGGTAGTGACGTAAAAGCCCAGGATGAATGTCAGAGGGATGTGATTGCTGAAATCTCGGCAATACAACACCACCTTTTCGAACATCCTACGAAGATTCACACCAACGTGAAGACCTCCTTAGAATCTCATTCGGCATAAGGTGCGAAAGCATGGCTACGTGAATCGGATTGCCAGTGAATAAAGACGAAGAATGTGCCACTTAACACCGAACTGACTTGCAACTGGCTTTACTCTGGTTACATTTTTTATGTTCCAGTTTTCTTCTTGTAATCAACTCTTTGATAATATTCAATAACCAGTGATGAAAATCAACCAGTAGAAGTATAGACAGTAAAAATGTAGGACTGATGGAGAACTTTCCTTCTTGAATCTTACAGCAGTTTTTTGTTGGTTTACACCTTAACTACTCGTATATGTAAAAGGTGAGCCATAAGTAACGACACAATTGTTTAAAATCCTATTTAGAATAAAAACTTGGAAAGGAAATGGAAGGCGCGATGGAGTAAGCTGTCCGATCTCCGGATATTGACTCTGATGGATTTTTTTTTTGGGGAGGGGGGGTGTCATGTCAAAATAGAGACTTGCAGCTCTTGTATTATCTGACCCGGTAAGAGTACAAAGTCAAAGTTGTAATTGGTGCCGTGTGAAATGCTACAGAAATCTATTGAGGCCTCAGTGCAGAGATGAGATAAGAGCATTCAAATTGGTGGCACCCAAGTGGAAGCACCTTAGGTTGTAGTGACTGTTGAAATTGAGTGAAATAAACTTTCATCATTCATGAACATTCCAGCACGATTATTTTGTTTTCATAAATGGTATTATTTTATTAAGGATTTAAAAACAAAAATCGTGGGGCTACTTATGGCTCACCCTGTGCTTCGAGCAGTTTACTGTCATTTATTACAGGAGCTGGATTAGGAAATAATTTCCTCAAGGCTACTGATAGATTTGAAAAAATTAAAGGATTTATTGTGTCACGTAATCGACTAATTGAATTTTAATCGAACTTCCAGCTTCCCACCCCCCGTAATGTTGCGAGCGAACGATAATTAACTCTGTGGTCACTTTCCGTCCTGCACGTTCCCAGAACGCGGAAGAAATTGGGTCAACCCGAACGGAAGGATCATTGGCATTAACGATGACGGGGACGTGCTAGAGGGGAAAGTCCGCACTGTCTGGTATCCGCTCGGCATCCACTCCACGACGGGGTTAAGAGAGGAAGGAAAAAGGCCACCGCATGCCGCGAACTCGTGCGAAGGACGAGGGAGGAATCTTGCTTTATTCTCGTATCGCCAGTCTTTCAAAGCCCTTTCATTCCCTCTTCTCACTTTCTTCCTTTCCTTTCGCCTTTTGACGAGGAGTCGCCCTGATCATTGATCACGATATTGTAACTGCATTTGGCATTAATGGCACTATCACCTGCCTGTCGGTTCCGTCACACCAAAAACTTGGAAATTGCGTTTGGAGACCACAGTTTCTTCTTGGTTTCCGAGCATAATAGCTTGTAAAAGCAGCCTCGTCTTTAGAGTGACCGCTCACTGGCGCAGATCGAAGCTGCGCGTATTCCTTGCTGAAATGAAATCTCACAGTTTGCAATGAGATTCGAAAAATGAGAATGAGAGAATGACGGATCGGATTGGAGCGAGCTTAAACGATTTTTTTTTTTTTTTTTACTGAAGGACATTTTCCAGATGTATAAAGCGGATGAATCGCCAGGTTTTCTTTTTCGATTCCTTTTTTTTCTGTTTGAGTGCAGCAGGCAACTCAAGAAAAAAAGAAATCTCTCGACAAGAAATGTCACGAGTAAGCTAAGAACAGTCCAATATCTAAAGCTAAAGTTCGTTCGCTCAAATTGGATCCTGCTTCACGAGTTCAGCCAAGATCGCAAGATTAGTCTGATTTCTAGTCTTCAATGAATGGCATCTTGAAATATAAAGGCTACTCTGGATGCTCGGCAGCAACAGTCCTTTGACAGACAGCAAAACTGCTCATGGCTTCCAGCATGTGCAGTATTGCATCTGCATAATTGGACGTCCATTGCGATCTCAGTAAAGGGAATAGTTTCTATTCACAGAAATGTTTCTATTTACAGCACAGACTTTTGCTGGATGACATGCTGTATTCAGCTTTTCTACGGCAATTTTCTTCATGCATTTCAAGATTGCTGTCCTGTAGCTGGACATGCTGGATAAGAATTTTTCCAGTACACGATGCAGTTACGGCACCAGCATGCTGATATGGATCAAGCCTAAGCATGACGAGCAGCGGCTTATAGGCGAGAAGAAAGGGGCAGGAGGGGAAAAGAATTCTCGGATCCAAACGAACGGAAAATTCCAATGCCGAAGGAAAATACAACCCCGACCCTTCATGCATTTCCTTTTTGTTTAATGGTTCGTGTTGTCTGGATATCGAAGGAAACCAGACAGGACGAGCTTTTCTCCAAGATCGAAATGCGACTTTCCTCTACTTTTGACTCCATCCAGTTCAACGCCAAAGATCCATCCATTCAGGTCGACCGGATTTCACGGCTGGGCGGGGCGGCGGTAATTGCTAGGAATTAACTTGAGGCACGCAATGCATTTTTTTCCATCTCCTCTCGAGGCCCTCGCTTTTTTACATGATCCTAATAGCGTTGCCCTTGTTCTCAGATCTCTTTTAAAAAACAAAGACCACATTTTCTTATTGCTAGTGTGTGCGGTGTAAAAACGATTACCTGCGACAAGTTTTCATTTAATCGGATTTCAAAAGGAAGCATTCAAATTCATTTTGTAAGACTATGCAGTGAAACTAGGAGAAAAGCTGGCATTCAGACGGAACTTGAGGGAGTTTTTAAATATTAAAATTTTAATGTGCGACTAAGGCATAAATCGGTCGACTCATTTAATCGAATTGGAAGTCTTGATTTTTTTAATGCAACCGCGAGAAGTATAGGAGCAGTGTTCCCACTCCATCTGTGAAAGCTTGTGGGAATGCCATCCCCACCCATTTCCGCTTACTTTCGTTGCTAAAAAACCACACGTTGACTCACGAACATCAGAAACGACTCACATCCTCTGATCCGGCAGAAGCACAAACCGATAGATGCAGCTGAGGAGAGAGTAGAGGAGCACCCAGATCATCATGTCCACTCCGAGCAGCTTGTACACACTCCCCTTCCATCTGCACGACGATCCGAAAGATGGCACAAAGGAATCACGGCAACGGCATCGGGAGAAATGGGGAAAACGAAATGAACCTGAAAATGAGGGTGAATATGCCCCCAACGCGGCTCCCGGTCGCTACTTTCGAGGAATAGTTGTAAGGCGTCATGCCGATAGGATAGCGCGATCGGAATCACCCGGGCCAACGTCTCGTACGAGGCAAGGGCGGTCCCATATCGCCGCCAGGCGTCATCCACGTGCGAAACCACACTGACGGGTTTTTACGAGCACCTCTCAAGCTAGCGATTGATTTCGGCTTCTTCGGGTGCAAACGAGCGAGGGAAAAGCGTTGCGCACACGTAAAAGGAGACGTACATTTGCCTCCTTTCACTTTTTTTCTTACAAGTATTTTTTGCAATGAAAATGAAGTTCCTGCGGAGATGGGGTTCGCAATCATCCGACTCCCACCTGCCATGGGCCCCTCAGTCGCCGACGAGATTGCCAGGAACCGACTCGCTCAATCGAGTTGAAATTCGTCCATTCTGGCAAGGAGGGTTGACTGGAGATGCGGCTTTCGTTTCGGCCGCTGCGGCGCCTCGGCAGCCTCTCCAGGAAACCGAATTGCATCTCTTCCCCGGCGTTCTTCGACTTTTACGGCACGAAGTGAGGTGTTATCTACTTCCGTTATCGTGTTGGTGCACTTGATTTATCCTTCCAGCATTGCTTACCATCGGCATTGTAAAATCCCTCATAAAAACCTACTTTGCTTGTTCACTATTTGTCGGTCAGATAGCACCATCGTTTGTCAACGGAAGTTGCAATCCGTGTTTTGTCGAAATAGTATTGGGGCTGTGAGATTTGCAGCTGGAATGACGCAGTTAGGGGAAAATGCGTTACCAACAGTTCTGAAAAATATCTCCAAACGCCACAGCACCTTGGTGTTCTTTGCCCCATCAATATGGGCTATTTCTCGTGTTTCTCGTCGACGACGAAGAGTCGTGTGATACTTATTTCTGGTCTAGCAAGCAAAAAACCCCTGAAGTCATTGCACAGCAATATGTTCGCCTCTTTCCCGGTTCACGCATTTCCGAAATGAGGTATAGTCTTTCGCAATATCCATACATTAATTTAGGGTCGTAAGTTTCTCGCGGTCCCTCTGTCAATAGCCCAGCGCCGAAGGGCAATTCTTTGGAAGGGAATCAAGTGTTGGTCAGACATCAATCAGAAGCGTAGTTCTTTTCTCATTAGGCTTATACAAATGGTGGGCCCACCCTGGGTGGAAATCCAGCAGGAGGCCGGAGGACCCCCAACCTGGCTTTTTATTTCTTCACCCACCCAACAATGTTATGAATAGGCTACCGACTTCCAGTATGAGCACCGCTGAGCAATTGACTGATGAGCCCCCGGATCAACTCAAATTAGACGTCGTTCACCTCTGATTACTCTTCCCTTAACCTTCCCTTTCTATGGTTCCCATCCCTCAATGCTCCCGGTGGGTCCGTCGTGAGGGCCCTGGCCCGTCTGCGATCCTCCGAGAGTCCGAAGGGGATTCTTTTCCTCCTCGCCGGGGAGTGCATCGGTTCGGGGGTGATGGCACCGCCGAAGAACAGATTGGGGTTAATTTTGTTCGTGGCAATGGCAGTGTGATTTTTTCCGCAGTGCATCTTTTATCCTGAGTGGATGCAGATATAATGATTCATTATAATGGGAAATTTCTCGCGGCACACCTTGAAGCCTCTCGCGACCCACAGTTTGGGAACCGTTTCTTTAATACAATTGAAGTTGATACCTGAATGAATACGAAAGCAGCATTGGTTTTTGACGTTGAATCCTTCTGATGCTCCACTCGGGTGCGTGAGAGAACCGGTTCCGTTGGATTTCCTCCGAAGTTGTTGCGTTTCACTGTGTAAAAGAAAAGAAGACCCATTAAAGTTCCTGTCGGGTGTTTCCAGCAAAAGCACAAAGCGAAGACAGTGGATGATGAAACACCGATGCATCAAATTAAGGCGTGGTGCACATTATTAGGAAGAAGAATGCCAGGAAAGATATAGCGCTGGGATGCTGGTTGATCAATAACTCGGTTGGGGTTTCTCATCTCCTCCTCTCCAAGGCTAGTATTCGCAGGGGAAGTCGGAAAGCCCGCCCACAAGGCGGGGCTAGTTCATGGAATGGTAAAGATTCTCATGCAGCCAGACCAAGGGCCTTTGCCCCCGTGTTTGATTTCGGCCCCTGCACCTCGATGATGTCGAGCTCAGGGCCGGGGATCCCGTCGGCTTCCGTGCACGGAGGCCTTGGGGATTACGTGAGGCAAGTCTTCCCCGCTTACACTTGCGGAGGCCGTGAAATGGCCGGAGTGTTCTGGGACCGTTACTCCTCTTGTCCGGGGAACCCGAATGGGAATCAGTCCTCCTTTTCCATAGACGCGATATTGGGGAAAGAGAACAGTGTTTCCAGAAGACACGACAGGAACGAATTCTCACCTCGATCTTTCCCGTTGCCCGGTCAAGGGAGGATCTACGCTTCGAATCGCAAGACCAAAGGTGAGTGACTGATGGCGATGGGCACTAACTGCTTCTCAAAAATAGCTAGCTGCTGCAAAATGGGAGCCAAGATACCCAGTCTAAAATCCCAACTGGAGTTTTCTTGCTGGACCAAAGCTGTAAGTTCTGACCGTTTCCAGCTGGCAAAGTGCTGGAAAATAGTAGATACAGGTTGTTTTATCGCTGGAATTTTCCAACTGGAATGCAGCTGGATTTAATAGCTGTTTCCAACTGGAAATTTCGAGTTTTAATTTTATGCAGAGGACCCTCCAGCTGAAATTCAGCAGAAATTACAGCTGAAAATCAGCTGCTTCTGTAGGTGGACCTCCGACAAGAATAGTCAACAAAAACATTCTCGTTCCACCAGTGGTGTTTACACTTAGGAACCAATCTGGATCGGACTTCCAGCTCTTACCCAGTTGGAATGTGTCTGAATTTACAGTTGGAGTCCAGCTAGAAATTATAGCTGTTTCCAACCGGGATTTAAAGCTGGAAATGTTCATCTTTGCAATTACTTTTCCGACACTTATTTAACTAAGTTATTTTAGTACGGTAAATTAGGCAAAACTAAAAACTACCCCAAAGACGATCTGTTGCTAAGTTGCATCATTGTCTCGTACTTGGTTACCGGAGATGTCCATGGGGTCGTTCTCATTAGGCCTCATGAGTTCACTGCTGTAGCCCTGAAAGTTATGTGAGGGACCAATCGAGAGTAGAATTAGCATCTCGTGCTGATGTAAACTTGAGACCTTCAAACAGCAGAATATTGATAATAATATACATATGAATTAACGAAATTTGTGCAACTTCTCATGCTAGAAAATTAAGAAGGAAACTAGATTTTCACCAAATTCGGTGCGATTTTATTAAAGCAACACAGAGACAAGATGACTCTAAGTCATTGACATTCTTTATTGTCTCATACTGAGCATTATCCTGGTGAGCGCCACGTATTCGTGCGCCGGTCTCCCCTTCCTCCTTCCCCCTGCCCGGGAACCATTTGCCGAGGTCGAGGAAAGGGTATAGGCACGACCTTCATCACCGTCTTCATTTCGCGTCAAGGGGATAGAAGTGTGACGTGAAGACCTGAAGGTAGGGTAGGCTGGATGGCGAGAGAGGACGAAAGAAAGCCAGGGGACGACCGGGAATTGAACCCGGGCCTCCTGATTACAGGTCAAAGTGTCCTACCGAACACGGGACATTCAGTCGTGCCTCTCAATACCATCCTTATAATCACAGAAGCAAGTCAGGAGACGGGAGAATGAGAAGATTGGCAGAAGAGAAGCATAGCATTAGTTCACAGAACGTGCATTTGTATCCAGAGGGACAAAATCCACTTGTGAATTTGGAACTTGTGAAGTACTGGATGCAAAGAAAAGAAAGAAACTCTTCGCTGTTGAAACATTTATATCTGGAAAAAAAAATGAAAGTCACTGCTGTGTTTGTTCCACATGGTATGTATCTACATGCTTTCTATTTTTTTTCAATTTATTTTATCGATTTCCGGTGAGCTTGTTTAGCCACACAGGCACTTTCGAGTTCGCTTGTAAAATATCTGGAAATCCCCGCTTGTCCTCACAGAAATGCGTCTGTAAGACAGCATTCAGCTGCTGTTTTCATTACAGAATCGCTCTTTTTATAAATTCGGTAGACACTTCGTCCAGAAAACACGCTTCAATACTGCTATGTATGCCTTAGACAACTGCATGATCACAACTAATGCGATTGACAAGTCGGAATGAAAGTAATCAAGCATACTGGCTGCCCTTTTTCGGCATGAGGCCAACAACGGGCGGGAATTTCCGAGAATTTCACTCGCAACTTTCAAAATGCTTCTGTGGCCAAAGCAGATGGAGAAATTTTCATTTAAATTTTCCTAGGGAAGACAAGACGTAGGTGCATGAATCCTGGAACATACATCACTGTATCAATGACCGATTTCCTGATGTGCAAATTCAAACAGCGGCGCGTTTATTTCTCCGCACCCGGTATTTGCAGCGACTGCACTGCTTGGATGGGGAAAGCTTAGATGAGACTGCTGCTTACAACAGTTTCTCTACTTGAATATATTTAAAAATTCAAATCGTTCAATTTCCTTAGTTGAAATAAAGCGTTCCATTAGCAAAATCAGCGACATAAATTGCATCCTCGTTTGTTCACAAGTGTCTTAAATATCCTATTGCAGAATGTAGTATTTATTACGAATGGTTCGCGTGACCCTACAATGTCCCCCAAACTGTATAAGGTGTGTAACGCCTTGTCGTTCCGTTCAGGGTGTCACAGAGCGCTCCAAGTCAAGGTTTCGTTTCTCTTTTCTGCTTCCCTTAAGCTCACCTTGTGCACTTCTTTCCACATTCTTGCTTCAGATACTTCGTATCTGAAGTATTGATACTACCCTTTAAAATAGTAACCTAAATAAATTAAACTTAATCAATTGAAGACCGAACGTCTCAACAAATCAGGAATCTCTCATAGAGTAAGATAGGGGGGCATTCCGGTTAGCAGGGATTTGTTTCATTTAACCCCCTTTAGGCCTAGTGTACATACTCATGTACATAAACTTTTTTCTTCAAATGACTGAGATCATTTGTACTGCTGGACCCGCCTTGATGCCCTTGAGGGGTCTTCAGTACTCATCTAGTACTGATTATACTGAATCAGTATATATGATTCAAAACGCATGTTACCTTAGAAAAGAACTATTAAATCGATATCGACAAATGAGATAAAGATGGAGTTATCTCAATGCCGGACTGTGCCTTTTGAAGGTTTCTACTGTCATTTTAGTTCAGAAAATGCTGGAAAGTGCTTCCCATGGAGCACACTACCATCAGGCCTGTGATGGGCAGATATCTCATTCAGCCGTTGAACGAGATCTTGGAGATCTCGTTCGCGCCGAACTTCCGAGTGGCAATTTTATACGAGCGCTCACTAGTCACTAGCGCCTCGTTAGTCGATGTCATTTCCCCCTTGTCTTGCCTTTCCAGAAGCTGGGCCGGTACTGGTTGGGTGATCCAACGAGGCAGAGGTACTGGTACTCTGGTGGTAGATGTGGTATACAGGGTATGGCAAGAAAAGACCAGCGACCTTAAACTTTAATATTTCGTCTCTCACTGGAACCACTTTGACGAAATGTGCTGTGTATGGATTGATATGTTCCCAACAGACTAATATAATTTCCTCCAAATTTATAAAGCCAGAGCAAGGACATGACCGATTATTCAAAAGAAATCTGACATTTAAACGGACAGGGGAATCCATTTCCTCATGAATGTCTCATCCTCCTGCCTCGTTCTCCGATGTAGACCAGGGGAGAAATCTGAATTAACTATGAGCAAACTCTCTGCTTCGATACTTATTGAGTCTTATGACATCGATTTGAATAAAACTCATCTGCAAGAAAAAGCCAGCCTAAAAAATGAATCTCGATGAAAGAGAAGCTGGATGTGGTCTGGATGATATTCAATGAGAGCGCTTGGGCATGTCCTCCATTCCGCTGCGAGCACCGACCTTAGTCCATTTCCCTTGCCGAACTTCTCTTTAATCATTGGGTATAGCCTTGTCTCGGAGCATTGAATTTGGAATTTTTTTTTGAGAATATGTTGGAAACATGTCCATCTCTCCGCCGTGAACGTTAATAGCTCCAGCAGGAGCGGAAATACATATTGGTTAAAAGTGTCTAGTCTTGTCTTTTTGCCATACCCTATACGCGGTACATCAGTGGAGCCCAACCCGTGGCCCGCGAGGCCCTAACCCACAATAATTACCCACAGGTTTCCTTAAAATAGTATCTTACAATACTAATGACTGCATGTGGCCCGTGATGGCTGTGGGAGTGGGCTATGTGACTCCCAAGCCGAAAAGGTTCGGTACCACTGCTATACATGGTGTCAGGCCGCGCACCCGCCAGGCTTGTGCTACTCGGGTTAACATGCAAAACACACAGATCGACCGAGCGTGAAATATTCCCTCATGAATTCTGACAAATGAAGTAGCAGTGGGCTTGCTAGTGAAAGTGTATGCTTTTTCCGGCCTCAAGTACAGAACTGGGACTGAAAATACCGAAAAGTACTCATCACCCGACCCAAGCAGAAGCTTACAGCAAAATAACTTCAGAGTGAATTTAGACAAATGAGGTACTTATGGATTTGTGTTCAAGCTCTGAGATGCCATTTAGATTCATTCATCAGTATAGTACTGAAATACTTGTTAGGGATAATAAGTACAAACCAACATCAGGGCCTAAAATCGTCAAAACACAGGTCAAACTAGAGCAAATCTCCGACGCAGACTTGCAAAACATGAGGTACCGATGGACTCCCCTCAATGCGAGGATGCTTCGTGGTGACTCAAGAGTAAGACGTTCCTAGTGCTAACTACTGAAAAGTACTTTGAGTAAGCATGCTGAACCTATCGGTAAATCGTCAAGGTATGCGTGGAATCACCTATTGAGATGATTCATCTCAGCACGCTGTTGAATGTGTCCAAGACTAAACAAGTTCTGAAAAGTAATTCACATGATGCCAGCAAACAACTACCCGGTCGATTTCAGCGGAAGTGTCACTGCCTTTGACTGATTAACTATAATGTGGGAGGCTTTCATCATCACGGCCACACCTCCATCTCGTTCGCGAGAGAGAGTTTGAGTAACCCGTTCTCGAGAGGACGGGAAGGATTGTAGAACCGTTGACGTCACCGATCTCCAGTATATGTAAATTGCTTGAGGAAGGCGTGTCAAGATCATGGTACGGTTTGTGTGTGTCTTATGTACAGTACTATGCGTCATGCGTCTCTAAACCTACGGAGGGGAAGGTCGCCCAGCGCATCGAAATCGCATCATATCTGCACGAAAAACCGCACTCGTGGCCGAAATACGAAGGAAATTGCATGGAGAGAGATCCCCACCGTGGTGGAGTTCACAGATAATCATATTCATATTATGTTTCCTCGAGCCTCCAAGTAAATGAGCAAGTATTTTTTGCAATTTACTCTTTCGGCGGTTTATCAGCATGCAGGAGGACGCGCATTTAAACTCACAGCACGCAAATATGCAACGCATGAAAGGGCCTTCACATCACGTTTCCTCTTTATCTGTGAATACACGTGGGTGTACAAGTATCCAGGTGTTCCTTTGCTTTCGAAAGAATGCTGACGCGTGCAGAGTCGTTTCTTGCATGCATCATTAAATCGCGCACGTCGCACTCGAGAGACGCGAAGTGTGAAACGGCGTGAAGACGTGGAGGGACTCGTCCAGTCGTTATTTTAAGAACGCGATACCGATGCAAAGATCCATCAATCAGGAGCGACTTGACTGTCACGTGACCTTCGGAACGGCGTCGAATGATTTGCTTTGAGTCAGTTTTCATTGGCGAAGGTATCGCAG